TCACAAGGTGAAGATTAGCAAGGTTCCATCCACAACAGGGGAGGGCAAAATTACAAAGGCACCACTTGCATCCACTAGCAAGCCTGGCAACACAAAAAAGGCTGTCCAGGTACCGACGAAGCCTAATGTTGCTAATGATGCAAAGGACTGCAAGAAGCCGAAGGCAAAACCTAAGTCTGAGGGTAGTCGGTCTAACTCTCTCATCCTCTTTAACGTACCTGTGAGCACGGATAGCTTGCTCGAACAACGGGCCCTGTTTGATCAGGAACAGTGGTCCAACCTGTGTGGCAAACTAGGTCTGAACATTAGTTCAGCAAAACTGTGCAGACTGTACAGGGGTGTCCACACGCCTCAGGGTAAGCCACCCCCATTACGGGTTACACTGGACTCTGCCGAAGAGGCCGAAAAAGTACTGTTAATGGCTCAGGTACTAGCCCTGGACAGAAGTTCTAACATAAGAGCGCGGCAAGATAGACCATGGGCCGTCAGAAATATGGCGAGGGAGTCACCGGAACTGATGCCTTCCACCTCTATGGTGGTACACGGTGTTCCGGAGCTGGAAACCGGCACTGCTTGTGAAAAACACATGCACGACGTACAACAATGGAGATGGCTGTCATCTCAGATGGCCCCTGGCGCTTCTGGAGCCATCTCCATTTTCCGACTACCTCGTCCCGCTCATCTAACATTGATTAACTCTCCAAAGCTGCTGTGTGTCACATTCAACTCCCCGGAGCAGTTGTCCATATCACTTCAACGGTGGTATGAGACCAAGGGAAAAATTGGAGGACACATCCGATGCTGTGAAAGCAGACCCAGAAATATAAGGAGGCAGCAAACTGAGGCTTTAATACGACCCCAAGCTTCGGTGACACTAGAGCGATGCAGCTCTGAGAATAATAGTCTGTGTCTCCCAAGTGTCCTGCCTAAATCCATTGAAAAAAACTACAACGGGCCGGTTCTATCGGAATCGGCCAACTAGTTCCAACATCAAGTCCCCCACCAGCAGACGGTTTCACGTCAACTACCCCACAACACTCTGAGGTTGTTAGACTCACTGTCAGTTGCCTATATAGCAATGTGAGGGGGCTGAGAGGGAAAGTAGGTGAACTTCGAAATCTCCAAGCACACCTTCAACTGAAAATAATCATTCTTACTGAAACGTGGCTAAACCCCACTATCGCCGACAATGAAATCAGTATAGGTGATATGGTACTGGTCAGGAGAGACAGGGATAATAAGGAAGGAGGGGGAGTTGCTATATACTTTGATAGGCAACTTAAATGTGTGCGCGCAACGGACCCACCACTTATCGAACTCCCAGACTCCATATGGTGTCATTTCACCGTAGGCCACACCAAGCACTTACTGGGTGGCATCTACCGATCTCCCACCTGTGGGGCAGAGCACAATCAGCTACTGCTCAGCACTATCACAGGAATACGAGATTTGGGCTACGACCAAATCACCATAGCTGGAGATTTCAATGCTCCATCACTGAACCTTGGCTCCGGGTGTGCTAAGGGAAAATTTGGCCGAAACCTACTGCAAACTATTCGAAACACGGGACTGACTGAGAATGTTGGAGACGACACTAGGTGGGGCCCTAGTGGAAAGTCATCAAAACTAGATTATATTCTAACTAGTGACCAGCTACTCGTCGAAAAGGTCCAGATCATGACTCCTCTGGGAAGCAGTGACCATGCAGTCATAGGTTTCGATCTTGTCCTCCGTGAGCGTTTGCAATGGGATGTTACGCGACCATGTCTGTGCTACAGCAAGGCTGACTATGCTGAAATGCGGAGGCTCTTGTCCGACGCAGACTGGCCCTTAGCATGGGACGACCTATCTGTGGATGAACACTGGGAAGTGGTAAAAAAGATTATCCATGCAGCAATCTCGGATACCGTCCCTTTAGTCACAACACAGCCTAAGAGAAAGACGTCATGGTTGAAGAGAGGCACGCAACGTATTCTGCAAGCAAAGCGGAGGGCTTGGTTTACGTGGCGTGTATCTAAGAGTCAGACCGACCATGATGCATACCTCGAACTCAGGAACCGGTGTAATGCAAGAGTTAGGAGGGACAGAAGGTCATTCCAGGCTAACCTTGCTAAAAAACTCCTATCAAACCCTAAAAACTTGTACCGATTCATGTCGGAAAGAAAACCGACAAACCAAGGGGCATGCGCCTTAGTAGGCCCAAACGGTCAATATCTCACTAGTCTGGAGATGGCTGAAACATTCAGTTCAGCCTTCGCTAAACAGCTAAACAGCAATGTGGATATTACAGTTACGGACCAAAATGGTGGCACCACTATTTCAGAGGAGGAAGACCTAGCGACTACTCCCCAAATAAACCCCGCAATAGTACTAAGGAAGCTACAGCGACTCATACCTGGGAAGTCCCCAGGTTGTGATGACATCAGGCCATCTGTTCTGAAACAGTGCGCCGAGGCTCTCTGTAGACCCCTGTGCGACTTGTTCCAACACTCAATGGATTCGGGGACCCTGCCAAGGGAGTGGAAAAGAGCCATCCTTTCTCCAATCTTCAAGGGTGGGGACAGGCAAAACGCTGCTAGCTATAGACCAGTAGCTCTACTCCCAGTGGTATCAAAAGTACTGGAAAGTATTATTGACGACCACATCAGGGAATATTTCGATAGGACTAATATACTGCATGAAGCCCAACATGGTTTCAGAAAAGGCAGATCCTGCGTCACTAACCTACTGTCAGCTTGGGACGACTGGACATCATGCTGGGACTTGAACGTACCAGTCCATGTGGTCTTCCTAGACTTTGAGAAGGCATTTGACACTGTTCACCATGACCTTCTCCTACATAAAATAAGACAGGCAGGCATAGGTGAGCCACTTCTGTCATGGTTGAAGGACTACCTAGCCGACAGGCAATTTTGCACTAAGGTTAACCGAGTCCGATCATCTTGGCACAGATCGTCATCAGGAGTGTCGCAGGGTTCTATCCTAGGACCACTGATGTTTTTGATTTTCATCAATGATCTACCACGCCGTCTGAGCTGCCCGACTCTCCTGTACGCTGACGACGTAAAAATATGGAGGGCGATAAAGTGTCCGGAGGACTCAGATAGGCTACAGGAAGACCTAAACCTTCTGGAAGACTGGGCGGTGGCCAGTGGCATGACTTTCAACTTGAAAAAGTGCAAAGTAGTGAAGTTGCGCACCTGTAGACTGCAGAATGCAAGTTACACCCTGTGCAATGAAAGCTTGTCCTGCACAACGTCGGAACGCGACTTAGGTCTAGTTCTAACGGAAAAAATGGACACAAGCGTAAATTACACAGGGGATGTAGCGAGGGCATATGCGGTCATACACTTTACGCATAGACAGTTAGGTGCACTCACTCCTGAGCTCTTTCTAATGTTGTACAAAACATACGTCAGGCCACACCTTGAGGTGCATAATATTATTGCACCCCCAATGCTGAGAAGAGATGCCAACCTCTTGGAAAGAGTCCAACGACGGGCAACAAAAGGAGTGGTTGGTCTCCGAAACAAACCATATGATGAAAGGCTGAAGAAATTAGGCCTGTTCACACTTAGTTACCGTCGGCTTAGGGGGGATTTGATTACTGCCTACAAAATAACAAATGACCAGAATCACCCAAACAAAGGTGTTCTGCCATTGAGTAGGTATAGGCTTCCACGTGGAAATCCCAGAAGGATAGCTCACCAGAGGGCAAGGACCCGGGTGCGCTCCCACTTCTTTTCACTGCGGGTTTGTCGTCCCTGGAATTCCTTACCGGCAGATGTAGCTATGGCACCGTCTTTGGACGCCTTTAAGCGAAGGCTGGACAACCATGCAGCGATACAAGGACTGCATCCAAATGGCCTATCTCCTTAAAATCGCATTTACCAATCAGGGTAGATAATTAAACTCGTCATTTTACTTCTTTACATTCTCTCCCGTCTTACTCTCCTGACAACTTATTAATATTATAATTACTATTATTATTATTACTATTACCGATATATATATTATTCTTCAAACTTCATGAGCTGACTGTTGTTACGTTTCCTATTTTCGTTTCTGTCTCTTAGTCTGAATAGCTTCACTAATTATATCTATTATTATTATTATTACTATTATTATTATTATTACTATCTCTTTTCTCTTGTCGACAATACCGAAGGACTAACTGGCGAAAGGATCAACTCCAATCACAGTAGTAACAGTCTTAACATACCTCATACTACAAACCACATATAATTAATCCCAGCACTACTCCCTTTGGAGTCAACCAAAGCTACGACAGTCGAGTGGCGGGACAAGCTACGCAGAAGTTTACCGAAGATCAAGAACCTATACCTCACAATCAAGAGGCGAGCACAAAGAAATCAAATTGGTTTATACTAGCTCGTAAAAACGATATTGGATATTGGATATTGGGTTACAGGCTGCGGAATTTACGTTCTCAAGGTCGTACTTAGAGCCTAGTATCAATTTGGGTTGTCCCGTGGTATTATGTATGCTTTAAAATATGTAACATGTGTAGTTTCGTAATAGGTGCAGTGATTGCTTCACCTTTTCGCAGCGTTTGGTTTTGCCGAATGTCAATACATTCTATAGCTATGATCACTTGTCCAAATTCGACAGTTGCAGAATCTATTGCCAGCACTTTGGTCACTAAGAAGCTAGCTGCTTGCGTTAATATTGTTCCATCCATTAAGTCCATCTACGTCTGGGAGGGCAAACTTGAGAAAGCGGAAGAATTATTACTGATAGCGAAAACACAGTCAAAAATGGTACCATTATTAACGGACACTGTTAAGGAAATCCATCCTTATGAATGCCCTGAGGTTATTGTTTTAAACATTGAGGGAGGTTATCCACCATATCTCAAGTGGATCACAGATTCTACTTCTTGATTATCAGTGTTATTAGTAATTAAAATAAACTTTTTACACTGGCGTTTTTCTTTTTGCTGACAAACACTGTCTGTGAAATAATTAGTTTTTATAGTTATGGGGGCAGGTTCATCAAATCAAACACGAGACGTGACATTTCATCCTGATGACATTATAGTAAGTTGTCATTTCTACAATGTATTCTCAAGGTAAGTGAAGAAGTAGTTAACAGGATCAGGAAGGCTGCTGCTCCAGTAAAGGAAACAGAAAGTATGATTCTTAGTCTTTAAATTGATAACTTTTAGGTGAGGTTCATACTCCTGAGTCTTTCAAGGCGAAATATAGCTTGAGTTTGAAACATGAACTTGAAGAAGCGGAAAAAAGATACGAAAAGAGCCTACGACTCATAGAACACCGTGTAAGTCTCCTCTTAACACTGAACCTGGTTATTTACGTCTTTAATTTATGGTACTACCGGCATTTATAGTATTCCGGTCGCTTGATGCAGGATAACATATTTGACTGCCCAGTTCGTGAGTGTCACAGTTACTGTATTTACGCTCTTATGAGAAGGCAGATGGACATTAAGATTTTTGTTCTACATTTATTTACTTTTATCCCCAGTCAATTACTACAGTCAACAACTACAGTCTCCCCACTTCATAACCTAGTGTTGTAGCACGTTAATTTCTATAAGAGAACCATCGTTCTTTCAGAGTAAATTAGGTGTTTATATTGAATTCAGAATTTAGTGTGCTGTGTTGACGTTAAGCTGTTGATGTACTCTCTACTCAATTTACCTAATAATGTATTTGGTTTACCTGACAAAAATGGTGGAGATAATCATTAGCCTACTGTTGAAGACTCACTGGGTACACAGATTTTCAAATATTTTGATTAACTATAGTGGGTTCTAGATTATGGTGAGCGTGTCTACATGTGGTATAATAAAGAGTTTTTAAAACAATTAGTCCCTTTTATTAATTTGGATAGTGTTATTAGAAAAAGCAGATTATCTGAGAAATGTAATCTATTTGGGCAATACATTTTGAACCATCTGAACACACATTAACTTGTCAAATCAATTTATATGAAAAAATAAAGGGATAATTTAAGTACACAGAGTGATAAGAAGGATTTAAGAATAATAAGAGTAATTAACACAGGGTTGGGTTGAGAGCCACACTTATAGTGTGATGATGATTTGATGATACTACTCGTCGCTTAGGTTAACAGAGGTGGAATGGGTATCGAACTCCGTGAGCCATTTATTAAAAGTTGGTTGCTTTCACCAATGAACCAGATTTACACCTTAAAAGCTCTTCTTATAATGCCACTAACGAACTGTAGAGTTAAAGCGACCAAGCATCTCACAGAGTCTTGTTATAGTTAGGATTTATTTTTCATAGAAGCATATTTGTGCTGCACTCGATGTGTTAGGAAATTTGATTTAAATATTCTCATTCATGTTTTAGGATGAAGAATTGTTTAATAAGGCTGCAGAGGAGTACACTCGCACAGTTGAGCGCTTGGAAAACAAGTACATGTAAGTTGAGGAAATGTAACATAATGTATAATATCCCATACGAAGTTTAAAGGTCTTGAAAATGGGTATAGTCTGAAGCGATAAGCACCGATGTTCGCCAGAACTTCCTACCTCATCATTACTAGTTACATGTTTTAATGAACTAACGAGAGCAACTTTTGTTGTTTGGAGCCAATCACCCAGAACCGGTCTTTTATATCGCAAGCTGTCAGCCTCACTTATTGCGGGGTGAAGACTGGTAATACTACTGTGTTATCTAGGCTGACGTAGTTGAAATGGGACTCCAACCGTCCAACCTTTTAGCTGTAAGCTGAATAATTAAGCCGATTAGCCGCATCACTATGCATACTACCAGCTCCGCAGAAACCGAATTGCTGCCCTAAGAACATTTGGTTGGTCTACAGTATATATACACTAAAATACCAGATCATCTGCACATTGTCAAACATTCAGTCATACTCACCATGCGTTTCACGTTTATAATTGTAGCATGATACTTTTTGTTTAAAGGGAAAGAGCAAAGTGGATCAATGCCTTTATCATTAGGTTGACTTGGAATTCACGTTAACACAGTTTAGAGTGGTTAGTATGGCTTGTATGTCGGTTATAAATGTCGTATGCGAAATCATCTTGACACTGGTAAGTTCCGATAGACCTGAATAATTTTGTCAATGTTATCTAATTCACCAGAACTGTCATCTTGGTAAAAGATATGTGCCTGGAGATGGGTCAGAAAATAACACTTCAGAAATGCAAGGGAAAGAGAAGTGAAGTAGTTAGGAACAACCAAGTTAAAACAAATCGGTAGTTGTATTTATTCGGAAAATTAAAAAATAAACTGTCACTTTCGGAAAAAGAAGAAAAAAATTCAACTTGTCCATCACTGATTTTGAGCAATGTTTGTTGGAGTCTTGATCCACTAAGTTGTGTGATCTCTTGGACGGTACTCACTGGATAGCAAAATATGTTAACCCAACACAACTATCCTTCATCCTACGGTACTGCATCATGAGTTTACCATTTGTGCTTTTCCCCACCTTCGTACGCGTCTATGAAATGAGAATAAAAACTTCCAATTTGAAGTCTATGTCCGCTCCGTCCTCCCTTATGCCTGGCTGTGAGACCTGGCCACTGAGAGTGGAAGACATGAAAAGACTAGCTGTCTTTGATCATAGGTGCCTGCGCTCTATTTCCCGTGTAAAGTGGCATAATAAGGTGAGCAACATTGAGGTTAGGCGTAGAGTTCTAGGTAAACAGGGGAAATCAATCGACGAAGTCGTGAAGCTACAAAGACTGAGATGGTTAGGATATGTGTTACGTATGCCAAGCCATCGCCTCCCTCAACGAGCAATGTTAGCGGATATAGGGTCAGGCTGGAAAAAAGCTATCGGCGGTCAAACAAAAGCTTGGCACCAGTCGATGAAATCCACAACAGTTGGTCTAAGCCACGTAAGAACGTGTAGACTTCCAGGCTGGGGTCCTCGGGACGGTAAAAATCTATGGTTGGAAACAATTGGTGACATGGCTCAAAATCGTTCTCAGTGGCGCAGATGCATCCACTCCTTGTGACTTATGATCTCCAATGAAACTTTTGTTTTTCTTTATTACTCATTTGTCTCACATCACTGCTCACTGTTTCTGTTATGCTTTTCTTATACTTTCTTCTCTTGCTTCGCGTGCTACACGGAGTGTGGCGACTTGAACTTCCGCACATTTGTGCAAAGTTCTATGTCGAAAACAGACAGACAGACAGTCTATGTCACACCTGATATTTGTTCATGTTCTAATAGTGTATTTTCATTAATTAAAGTCAAGTTAAGGGGGATTAACAGAAGTTATTTAGTGTAAAAATGACGGTTAAATGAAGATTCCAGTAATTTAAATATCCCAGGAAAATTTCCTGAAAAAACAATTGTTCTCAATAACTTTTCAGGCTCTACAGTTATAAATACATGATATTAATTTTGACTCACCGTTAGGGATTTAAACCTCACCTACTAAACTAGCTTCCTAGTTTTCCAGCCGTGCCACAAACCGGGAAAAGAGGGAGAGTTGGACCTACGGGTAGCAACGCTAAATGACTAAACCTATCAAACCGCTACAGAATCTTTAGCACAAAACTATATTGAAACTACCAAATGTTAAATGAACGATCTTATTCTTCTCTGGAATCAGATAGGTGAAATGGTGCGGGCTGGTAAAAACCTTCGAGAAGCCAGTCAGCCGAAGTTTCTTGTCTCGATGAAAGCAGGAATAAAAGTAGGGACTTGGAATGTCCGTACAGCGCAGGTACTGGCATTAATTGGACTCGTTTAAATTCTCCATGAATGATTTAATTGTGTCTCCTGGCAGCCATCTTCGTGACAGGTAGTCGATTTACATCTCCATTGATCATTTTTTATTGACTTCGGATTCAAACTTTCTTGTCATCTGATCTAGCTTTTATTAGTTGGTAAATTAGTCAGTCTTCTCTCGATGAAAGCAAGAATAAGAATGGGGAGGTGGCATGTCCGTACAATGTACAAAGCTGGCTGGGAAGGCTGCCCAGGTTGCCAAAGAGATGCGAAAATATGACTTAGAAGTACTGAGTATCTGCGAAAGCAGATGGAATGAATGTAGATTGACAACATTGTCAATGGGAGAGTCAGTGATCTACTCCGGCCATCCAGGCGACAACCACGAGCACACTGAGGGATTGGCTATAATGATGTCGCCAGCGGCAGCCAAAGCTCTAATGCAATGGGAACCAATATCATCCAGGATCATGACAGCAAGATTCAACTCAAAAGGAAGAAGGTTAGGATTATTCAATGCTACGCACCTATAAACAACGCGGAACAAGACAAGAAGGAAGATTTTTACAGATAACTACAAACAGTAATGAACAACATCCCAAATGGTGACATCAAAATCCTCTTGGGCGATATGAACGCCAAACTGGAACCTGATTATACAGGAAGAGAACTCATCATGGGTCAAGAGGCTGTGGCTCGGAGAAATCAATGAGAACGGAGAATTATTCCCAGACTTCTGCGCTTTCGATGGTTTGGCGATCGGAGGTAGCTTGTACAAGCACAAGGATATACACAAAGCAACATGGGTTTCGCCTGATATGGACACACCACAAACCAGATAGATTTCATCTCAATCTCAAGGAATTGGAGACTCAGCCTGCTGGACACAAAGACGAGAAGGGGAGCAGATGTGGGCTCAGACCATCATCTAGTTCTAAAAGCCTTCAAGGTGAAGCTAGAATCTATGAAAACAAATGGAGACAGACCACAATTCAAGTTCAATATTCAGAAACTGAAGGACAAAACTACAGGGGATGCTTTCACTACAGATCAGAGCAAAGTCGGACACACTACGTGGCATCACTGAGGAAATCTGTATGGGAGAACACTGGGACTATTTGAAAGTGATATTTAAGGAAACGTGTACAACTGTTCTAGGAGGAAGGAAGAGACCAGCCAAGACTTGGAATGGCTGTCAACGTACACCTACCTGGAAGCTAATAGAAGAGAGGAGAGGAGGATGGTGAAAGAGATGACTCAATGCAAATATGGACAACAGAAGAAGAAGCTGAGTTCAATATACACTGCACTGAATAAAGCAGTAAAGAAGAGTGCTAGGAAAGACAAACGACAATTCTACGACACATTGACAACTGAAGCACAACAAGCCACAGGCAAAAGAGATCTCAGGACATTATATCAAATAACCAGATCTCTATCCGGGAAGAGATCAACCCAGATGCTGAAACCAATAAAAGATGCTCAAGGAAACCAGATTACCAACGAGGAGGAACAAATAAAACAAAGGGCTGATCACTTTAAAGGACTCTTGAATCGACCACCACCGGCAACTCGCCCAGAAATACCACCAACATCACTTACAGAACTGCTGGTGGACACCAATCCTCCAACGAAGGCAGAAATCCTGAATGCGATCAAGCTACTGAAGTCCAGCCGGGAAGGCAGCAGGTGATATGATTATGAGCAATAAATTGTGCTCGAAGCGTCATCAGTAAATATTAGTGTATAACACTGTGAGACTTTATCAAAAGAAATTTTACCCATAATGGAATTATACTCTACCACAGTGCACAAGTTTTATTCTTATATCAGTATTACTTCCTTCACTTATCTGGGAAGCACGGTTTCAAGCACAAGTAGTCGGAATGGATGAAGATGTTAAAGCAGGCCAGAATGGGAAAGGCGAAATACGCCTTCATCAACCTGAAGTCAGATTAGAGATCTGCACTCCGCAGCATAAACAACAAGATTTGCATTCTGTTCAACACAAATGTCAAGTCAGTTCTTCTATACGTTTCAGAAACTCGCACTGCGTATCACGAAAAGTATTTCCAACAAGCTACCGACTTATATCAACAGCTGGCCAGAAAGAATAAATAAGAACAAACTGTGGGTAGAAACCAACCAAGAACCGATCGCTCAACAAATATTTAGGAGAAAATGAAAATGGATCGGGCATACATTGAGGAGACCGTCGAATGACATCTCGCGCCAGGCGATGGGAAGCGACGAGTGGGTCGTCCTAGAATGACATGGGAGAGATCGTGTGAGGAGGAGATAAGAGACTGTGGGCGACCGCGGTCCAAGTTGAAGAGGATGGTAGAAGATAAGGCAAAGTGGAGATGTGTTGTTGAAGCCCTATGTCCAGCTCTGAATATGATAATAATAATTTTACTATTTATATTCTAGTATTCATGAATATATAACTATAGAGCCTGAAGGAGTTATTGTAAACAATTGTTCGCTCAGAAAAAAAAATATGTATATAGGGTGAGAACAGATTTATGTCAGCTAGAGAACCATTGAAAACCAGGGAGTACTATATACCTATTTCGTCGTACTTTGGGTCTTGTCGGCAGTATTTACTGGGTTTCGAACCCAGGACCTTCCTGCTACAAGGCCAGCCTGTAGACTATTCAGCCACTGGGACTGACACGGTTCAGTGGCCAGTTCATGAATTCTAACTTCTACCATTTCGGGATTTTAGTGTGAACACCAACCAATGTCATCGGTTGGAACTGCATCCTCATTCCCAACTAAATGGACCTCACTGGTCACGACTTCTTACTAGAACTCTAGGCAACTTTGTCCTGTAGCAACTCACTGGCGAGCATTAGATTGATTTTCAAGAATTAGTTTGTGGGTCCTGGGTCTGGACCCAAATGGTTTCGTACTGCCAATGAGTCCCAAACTACGATGATGAAACAGTTGCGCAGTACTCCAGTGCTGGTTTACGGTGGTTCTCTAACTGATATCAATCCGTGGTGTAACCTGAAACAAATAAATTCTTGGACATACATAATTTCGTACACCTATAAGTTGAATACTTCTGATAGAAAGTTTTTACTGATGGACAATTCGCATTTAGCGCTGTATTGGACATTAATGATATAAAACGTTAACCAAGTTGCTTCACTGTTCACTATAACCTGCTCCATACAGTAACTGATGATAACGAAGCTACTGAAGTGTCCAAGTTTAGTTCTTTATTTCTTGTTTCCTACATCAAATATATTTTAAATTTGGGGATAATTTTATTTCTAATAATCTTGTGTACAGGTTCTATAGAGAAATAAATTTTATTCTCATGCATTTTAGGAGGCCTACTCCTGGTGGTTGTTGTGCTGCAGCTGAACAAAGAGTTGAAGATTGTTACAAACAAAATCCTGGACGGATACTTTTGTGTTCTAAGTTTGTTACAGAGTATGATCGATGTGTGCAAAATTTTCTTGTTGTAAGTGTTTGAATAGTTTTTGATGGTGGTGGCGTACTTTTTATTATTCTGATGATTATCTCGTCTTTGTGTGTATTTAGCACTGTAGTAACATCCAAGTATTCTGAGTATTTAGGCATACCTAGCTTACGCGTCTTAACTGGAATGAAACAAACTGTTGATCAGTATTAAATATTTTTATGAAGCTAATAATTAAAGTTTTAAAACTGATCAAGGACAGACTTCATTTAGAGAACCAGGGATTATTTGACACATGTTTCGTCCTAGTCCAGGACCCTTCAGTAATAGAGAAACTAGAAACGAGAGATCAATATTTTTTTTGTTCTTCAGGTTTCTTCGAAAAGCACATCCATATAACCCTTAGGACTTTCAGGTTAAAGGTGAGCATCTCACTCCGTTAACCACCAGCTCACTAACTCTCTTTTCCGTCAATTCTCAATACAGCCTCACTAATATTTACACTGTCATTGAAGAAATATAGGTAATGACCACTCCTTAAAACTGCAAGCATTTCTAATATTTCACGGGTTATTAATCACTCTCTGTTTTCGATTGATCTTGCAGTTTGTGCTGAAATCAGTCAAACCTGCACAAGTGCAACATTTATCAGTGTTCGTCTTAATTTGGCTGTCATTAAATTAAACTATTGTATCTACTTTTTTAACCATAACATCTTTATACTGGATAGTATATACAAAATGTACAGAATTTTTAGAGGAGTTTATTGCAAGATGTTTTCCCTTCGTACAATATCTTCAAGTGAAATATTAATTGACAGTAGTATATCCTGCGACACATTTCTCTCTGAGCTGAAACACAAACCCATTCCATTTTGATATAACCGCTTTGTCCCCTTCAAGAAATCCACAATGTCTAGTAGAAAGCCAGTTGTAAGATGTTCAAAAGTGCATTCTGAGACCGAAGGACATAACTGAAGAACAGTTATCTCATGTATTGGAACACGCTGCCATTCACAATCAGGCCTTTCCTGAAGTTTAGTGGGGAGTTACGAAACGGAAGTTTGTTAACATTTTAAATTCACATAAGAGTAGATAATAACAATAGTCGATTAAAACAAAGCAAACGAGAGAAAATATATGCAATAGGGAGATGAAAGTTTTTGGTAGCCCAAGCTTTAAGCAGGCTGCCCAGGAAGAGGTATGTATTCGGTATGTATTATTACTATTTTCTTTACCATTTTATCATTACTAATTCATTTAAACTCGACATTAAATTATTTTAAGTAGCATATACTCTACTCTGTTTACACAAGTTCTCGATTAAGCTTTAAAATATCTTATAGCCACAAAGTCTTTAGGTGCTATAGTCAGAACTGTTCTCATCAAGGTAATCATCGATTTCAAATATAACGTGCGTAACTATGTATATAATACAAATACGGTGCAATGCATTTTGAGGTTCTTTATGTTCGCAATGTCTTCAGATTACAATCAACTCGAGGGAGAGGAACCAAAAAGATTTAAATTTTTTTTAAAATTAAATTTTCGATTACAGCTTGATTCCACTCTGTATTTTTGGTTCATGTATGGAATTTTCAGCATGGATATCGGTAGCCCAGATTTTTCAGGCTGACCGTAGATATCAATTGTGCATCGAAAGGGGATCGAACCTCGGACCATGTGCATGGTCGGCGAGAGTCCTGAGCACTGTGCCACCGACGCACAAGAGATGAATTTGTTCCGTATTACTTAGTAATAATGAGTTATGCTAGTGTGTTATCAACAAAAACGCTTATTAGCTGCCAGTGATAGGATGTTGATCAACCACGATTGTGGTCTGAGTTCGATTTCCGACCGATGCACTCAGAAACCTCTGCTAGCCGGTAGTACGACTGACTGATTTCAATGTAGAACTTTGCACAGATGTGCACCAGTTCGAGTTGCCACTCTCCCTCTTTGGAGCACACAAAGCAAGAGCAGAGTAAAGATAAATTCAAAAGAGAGATGATAAACAGAAATATGAGGTAACAAGAATAGTAATATGGAAGAATAGAATTTTATTGGATATTATAAATCATGACGGGTGGATGCATCTGCGCCATCGGGAACGAGGATTTCTAGCCATATCACCCATTGTCTCCAGACACCGCCAGTGCTTCTTAGCATCATCCCGAGGACCACAACCAGCTAGCCAGGAAGTCTACACCTCCCAACGAGACTGGCTTAGATTAACTGTTGTGAATTTCATTGACTGATGAGGCCATGTTTCGGTTTGACCACCACTGGCTCTTTTCCAACCTGATCTATTCTATGTCAGTCAGTTAACCTCGCCCGTCGGGGAAGGCTATCGATGGCTAGGCATGCAAGCGTAACCTGTGTCCTAACCATCTCAGTCGGTGTAACTTCACAACCACCTCGTCGACTGATTTCCTCTTCTTACCAAACACTCGACGCCTAACCTCCATATTGTTCCCTTTATTATGTCACTTAACATGGGAGAGAACTCAGGCACCTGTGATCGAAGACAACTACCACCTAGGACCGTCAGATCACAAGGCGAATTCGTTGATTATTCAACCACTGGAAGAGGATCCAGTCGTCCATGGATTCTAACTTCTGCTTATCTGTAATCTATAGCGCCAACCGACGCCAGCCTGTAGCATCGACGATTACCTGTCCTCACACACAGTTTAGTGGTAGACACCTCTGGTCATTACTTCTCATCACTACTCAGACGAAACATCTGTCTAATGATTTCTTGTTTTCATTGGCTTCCCAACTGAAGTCAGTTTCCGTAGTCAGTCTTAAAATCAAACGAATCCATGCAAACTACCACGTGAAAATTGAAGTTTTATTTCTTTTTTAAACTTGAATTCTGACAACACAGTGTTAATGTTGTGACTTTTGTGTTTTTGTTTTCAGACGTTGTCTAGGAAAATGTCGAATACTGCTTAAAACTCTGAAACGACATTAATTTTATATATTGCATAAATGCACAAAGTGCAGCAACACTATGATTTCGTTGGGAGATGTAGTATATCATTTCTAATTATAAATTATGAGTAGTTTATGATTGTTTTGTCTTTTTATAAAAATAAGTTTATCTGTTATCTTTAGCTTTGATTTCCAGTTATAATCATACTGTTGAAGTAAACATTTTACACGATCATGTTTCCCCATAGAAAAAGGAGGAGGTAATGGCGACGACTGCGTATTCTGTAAACTCGAAATTGCTAACTAATTTAAAATATATTTCATGCATATGGTTCCATTGATTAATTTGAATATAAAGCAAGAACGAATATATTCGCAGAATCTAAAGAGCTTCATTTTTACCTCACGGCTTTTTTTCAGCTACTGACAGCCTGAAAATCACATAAGTTATTATCCATGTAGGTGTATGACATATTTGAAGAATGGTGTTTATTAACTCTAAGTATATTAACGAAACAACAGATCTGAGTACAAGATAATCCAACAACCAGAGTTTATTTATACATAATTTGATGAAAAGTTGGAAACGTGATGGGAGTGAAAAGAAATGGTAAGTGAAAGTGTAACGGTAGAAGACGAGAGACTTGGTAAACGAATGCTTATTTGCAATTTGGTATCTATACATAGCCAAATTTTGTACACCTTATCTTCAACGCACCATTTGCACAGATCTTCCGTGTTGTGCTACTTCCGGCCCCCATATTGTGTTTCTTTGTGTTCCTTTCACGTCTGTGTATTTGTGTAACGTATTATCATCAGGTTTATCTCCCTTCTATTTGATGTTTGTTTATGCCGATGAACATCTCTTTATATACTAGTGATAAATCTTGTCAGTAGCACACGCCACAAAAGTGAAATTATTACACAAACAAGAAATTAAGTAAATTAGAAGATTAATACTGAGTTAAGCGTAGCGATGAAGAATGAAAAAAAATTATGATGCAACAAGAAATATAATTAAAAAGTGTCATCTAGTTACCAGGGTAGTGATGATTATCTTTGCGGGATACAGTATTATTGAGTATAGTAAAGACAATAATTCAGGTTATATTTGGATTAATTGTAGTTCATGGATGGTCGATGTGGCTGTGTCTGGTTTTTGAAATTCTCTGTGTGCTGATTAACCTGACTATGGGTTTTATTTCTTTTCCAATGTAATCATAATGTCTTTTGCCTAATCTGCTTTGAAGCAAAAAGCACAAAACTTACCATCGAGACAAAAGAATGACCCCAAAAAAGTTTTTAAATAGACTAAAGCGTTTTTTCTTTTTTCAAACAGGTATACAGAAACCATTATGTTAAGATTAAATGTGTCGTGACAGTTCTTTATCATATATGCACATTAAAAGAGATAAAACACGGCTCAAACATTTGTCATATTGGAGATCTCTCTATACTCATAAACGTTTTATATTTATAGTTACTTCAATGTTGCTTCTTTCTCTGGAACAAACAGCTACTTGTACAATTAGGGTGGGTTATGATGATTGTGATGCTGCTTTTGTTAGATTTATTTTGTTGACATGCTTATACTGATTGACTAAATATCGTCAAAGTTTCATTCAGCATGTGGAATTCTATATGAGCGGGATAATCTAGAGAAGACTGTTATCTCTGTCTGTGCTTATGTCCTCGAAGAGGTCATGGTTTTATGTGTTGTGTCTAGACTGAAGTAAGTTTGCGCCGTGTGTATATGGCGCCACGTACATTAGTGTTGAAGTTTAACGTTAGTGTACTATTTCACTTCACAAAGACTAGCCCTAATAATTCCTAGTGGTTTTCTTTATTGTTGATGATAATAATAGTAAAATTATGTGTTAAGACCGAATGATACCAAAGGAAAAAAACATACATTAAGTATGATGAAATGTAGACTGAGTGACGATGATGATGACGTCTAACTGCTTCGATATCACTTTAATTGTTTACGAAGTATTTCATAGGTACGAAAAGGTTGTTTTCAAACTATGGAAAACTTCAGATTGTAACGTTTCGTAAATCTTAAAGTGTTGATGGTATTTTAATCCTTTTTGCAAGTGAACTATCTATAAAGTTCTGGAATAGCATTCATTCACTCATTATCAAAACAATTTAGACAAAGCAATAAGATGACGTAATTTGTCTGAATCGTGTAATGTATTCGCGCAACACATTTCGAACAACCTGATCACACACGGAGGTGTCATAGGAATATATATGAAATTAATCAAGAGTTAAGAGGTGAGAAAATTGACTTTGAGAGAAAGAGTCCAACTCCAAAATATCCTTTCTTGACGTTTAACTAACAAGACGAGAACAGAATGGAACACTGAAACGATCTGTCTACTGAAAGTCGATGTGAAACAGACAGCTTACTAACTTTCACAGTTGAGTACCTCTATACACCAAACAAAACCTGATCCGTTCACTCAGCTACAGAGTTCGCAGAATTTGCACCCCGGACACCATAGATGACGAACTGGAGAGAGAATTGTTATCCAGAATGATTTACTGCAAAATCCATGACTCCTAGACCGCAAAAGCCGTCCACGCTTAGCGTCTCGAAAAAACTACTCTACATGAACCTTCAATTCAATGGAGATTTATCTGCGGTAACACTGAAAAATCGACTGTCGCGATCACTTAAGAAAACCTTCGCTGCTGAACCACGACTAACCTTCTTCACAAAACCTATGATTCGTTTGAACGTGAAGGATAAGCTACCACTACTGGCCTCATCAATGTGTATCTACCAATTCACCTGCTCGTGTGGAGCCAGGTATAAGGGGGGTACCCAGCGTTCTCTTTCTGAACGTATCACCGAACACTTACCAGCATAGTTTGACAAAGGAGAAAAACCATGCCTCCACAGCTCTATCTTAGAACATCTGATAGATTCCGGACACCAACCTACACCCTAAACAAAATTCAAAGTCGTCTACAGAATACGAAGCAGTCTTCCTAAAGGTGTACGAATCAGACTTCTTCAAACTGCAGAAGCAATGGCGATTCACTTCCTAAGTCCTGAACTCTGCATGCAGAAGGAGTTCGTTCAATCAATCAATAAGGTGTAAGTAATGTTGACGTTAGGCGTAGAGTGTTGGGCAAAGAGGGAAAATCAGTCGACGAGGCTATAAAGTTACATAGACTAAGATGGCTAGGTCACGTGCTGCGCATGCCTAACCATCGCCTCCCCCGACGGGCATTACTAGCTGTATAGGTGCAGGTTCGAAAAGAGTAAGTGGTGGCCAAACAAAAACATGGCATCAATCCATGAAATCCTTGACAGTTAAACTGAGTCAGGTAGGGAGATGCAGACTCCCGGGTTGGGGTCCTCGGGACTCTAGGAATCAATGGCTGGAGACAATAGGTGACATGGCTCAAAATCGTTGTCAATGGCCAGCGCAGATGTATTCAATTTCTGTAATCTTTCATATTCCTTTCTACCATTACCCATTCTGTTTCACTCTTATACTTGTCAAACTCTATTGATTCTCTTCATTCATCTTCTTGTCTACCTCTGTGTGCTATTTGGAACGTGGCAACTCGAACTTCTGCACTTTGGTGCCAAGTTCTATGTTGAATCCAGACAGACAGAATCACTACACTTGCAATCGACGTAATCTATCTTAATATCCGACAGATAAATTCTACTTATTTTTTTTTATCTTCTGTCTCTTCATTAGTATTATTTTGTCTTTTCAATTGTAGTATTTTACATTTTCAACCTTATTGTTCTCTAACCCACCCGATTTAATTTCTGCACCTCATTAGCACTGTTACTGACTTGACCAACGCTCAATTTCTAGTCATTTATATTACGTCATCCCTGCGTTGGTGGCACAGCGGTTAGGACGCTCGCTGACCATCCACACGGTCCGGGGTTCGATCATAGGCCGACGCACTCTTTTGCCTCGCTAAGCTGGGAATAATGCTGGTAAGGAGGAAAGATTTGGCATGAGGCTAGCAACCCCATCCTGTAAAAATAAACACTGCTACTGAAACTTTAGGCCACTAGCTTGGAGCCCTGTATTCCACTGGGAACGTGAAGGAGAAAAAATATTACGTCATCCAACTTATTTGCTCGATTTTAGTTCTAATCTAAATGGCATTATTCTCTACTTCACCTCTACTTAGTCTCTACCTATAATTACCTCTGCTACCCTGACCTAAGTTGAAATACTTTAGTCAATTATATTACGTCATCTAACTTACTAACTCAATCTTACTTTAGTTGCTGTCTAATTAACCTTGTTTCTTTATTAGATCATTCTTGTACTACCTGATTAATTACCTAAACTTGATAAACCTCGTGTACACATACACAAATAATTATATATAAATGCGATTTTACAGTTACGTGAATGAATTCACCGAAGAGTCTCTTCGCTGAACGTCTTCTCTTTTTCATATGACTTAATTGGTCTTTAAGAATTCCTATCTGTAGTTTTTGTCAGGTGTCCTATTATCCTGAACTTTTAACAAATATCTGTGTTCTTAGATTCGGTAGTTTTTCGAGGGGAGCTTTCGATATTTTTGTTTCTCTTTACTGATTCAAAATTTATTATGTGTAATTACTTTGTGAGGTTCTTACGCAACTGTTCCATATAGATGACTTACTTGTTTTAGCCTTTTTTCACATATGCTTATTACAACTCTTAGCGGTGGTTGTGTATTAGTTGTATTTAAGTCACATAGTCGTGTATCTGAATCTTGTTATTCTTGAATCTTCTCTTATACCATAAGCCAATAAAGATTTCGACTGTAACCAGAATTGACTAGGGTTTTCTTGTCCTCCCACTATTCAACTTGGACCGCGGTCGCCCACAGTCTCTTATCTCCTCCTCACACGATCTCTCCCATGTCATTCTAGGACAACCCACTCGTCGCTTCCCATCGCCTGGCGCGAGATGTCATTCGACGGTCTCCTCAATGTATGCCCGATCCATTTTCATTTTCTCCTAAATATTTGTTGAGCGATC